TGGCTGTGAAATAGAACAGAATTGCTTTTATTAGTAGTGTTTCTATTAGTACAGTAATTTTGGAGTAATTTTGTGAGACACACAACATCCAACCAGTTGAATAAAATTGCTTTATTTATTATGGATTATTTGCAAATTGTATACATGACTATGCCCATGTAGGTAAATTAAAGCACCACCACGAGTCTTCCTATATGCATCAGTCAATCAGAATAGAGCTTGAAGGGAACTTGGAGGTCCTCTAGTCCAACCCAGGGGGCTGCCTTCTTCAAAACCTCCAGTGATAAAGCACCTATGATCTCTGAAGGGAAGCTGTCCCGCTGGTTAATTGTTCTCACTGTTCGGAAGTTTCTCCTAAATTCCAGGTTGCTTCTCTCCTGGATTAGTTTCCATCCATTGTTTTTTGTTTTGCCTTCTGGTGCTTTGTAAAGTAAATTGGCCCCCTCTTCTTTGTGTTAGCCCTTCAAATACTTGGACATTGCTTTCATGTTACACTTAGTCCTTCGTTTCTCTAGATTGGCCATACCCGATTCCTGCAACCGTTCTTCATATGTTTTAGCCTTCAGACCTTTGATCGTTTTAGATGCTCTTCTTTGTATTTTTTCGAAAGTCTCAACATCTTCTTTTGTAATGCGGTGACCAAACTTGATGCAGTATTCCAGATGTGATCTTACTAAGGATTTGTAAAGTGGTACATGTGTGTGCATGTGTGTGTGTGTGGGTGTGTGTGTGTGTGTGTGCATATACATCACAGAAAAAAATATTTCCCATACTTTCCAATATGGTTTTATGAATGCAAAAATTCATTAAATATTAAACAGAGATGCTAGCTCATCACACTCTAAAATAAATATGTCCAGGACCTTATCACTTAATACTTTAGTGAAACAGATTCTGCTTTGTTAGTGGTGTTAAGATTTAGGGGTAGACAGACTTCCAAGACAGGGGAGTGGACTTATTCAATATGGAAGTGAAAAAGACATTTTTATCATTCCCACAATTCTCATCCCAGGATCATATAGTTATTTAAAACAGTGTCTTGCTGCTCAAACTATAGAAGCTTCTTAGACTTAGAGCACCTTATAAACAGCAATATCGATGAGCTTATTATAGTTTCAACCAATTAAACCAGTGTTTCTCAACATTGGCAACTTGAAGATATATGGATTTTAATTCCTACAATTCCCCTGACAGCATGGTGAATTTTGGGAATTGAACTCCACACATCTTCAAGACAAAAGGCCATAATCTGTAAATTTGCACAAGAAAAGCTGGGGATAGATGCTTAGTTCCTTTCATTGAGTTCCCTGCACATTGGGGAACTAGTTATTAATACGTGACTAAATCTGAGTCCCCTTTTGCAGGTCTGTACAGCACTACTTTCCAGGACATTTTGCATACCAGTTAGGGTGCTTATACTGGAGCCAAAAACTGGGACCATCTTGGCCAAATCAGAACATATGGTAAACATAAACAATAAGTCCCGGCTTTCAAGTTTACCATTCAAGGGAAATGAAGTACACAAAAAAAAAGGGGACATTTAACTTTGAAGCCTCAGATATACAAAAATACTATTCTTTACATCTCCAGCAATGCTGGAAACAGGTTAAATCGCACGATTCTGCCATTCTGATGGCTGAGATCTAAGGCATCTGGTCTTCTCAAAAGTTATAGCATATTTTGCTCTGCTTCTCTGCTGCTCAATAACTTAACTGTATCACTGCCAGTCAGATTATGCTAATCAGTTGAACTAAGAAAAGTTCAGATTAGCTTCTAAAAAGGATGGGCTTTTAGAAGCATTTGGTCCAGAGTTTGAGCTTGCCGTACTGGATTGCTAAGAAAAAAAAAAAGTTTTAGGTGGCCTCATGGGGTGGCAGAATAGGGGATAGTAGCAGAGAAAGTGAGGAAGAATTTGATGAAAAATGGAATTTAATCTATGAATTTGGATAGGAAGTAGATAATATTTGGATTTAGTTCACTAAAAACAGTTTGAGCTAACCCTGATGGCAGTAAAACCCTTACATGAAAGTTTTGATATTTGTTTAAGAAGCAATGACCTAGATGTTGCATGCTGTATAATGCAGCAAATCTAACAGAATGGGAATTAGGTTAAATACAACAGATTTGTTTTACCAGTTGGAACAAAAATCAATGGCCATTTCAAATACCATTTGTGTATACACTATTACAGTATCCTAAGACTAAAAACCTTTCCCCAACTTTTTTCTCAAAATATGTTATCTTCCTTTATTGAAGTCACTTGCCAAATAAATGGAAACACGAAACGAAGCTGATTATACTTGTGATTATATATTTTTAATTGGCTAGTTTCGCTGATATGAATCAAATGTATCCATTCATATTATCATTACACATACAGCAATGGTCTTCTCCATTTGCACCAGGTAGGCCTTCTTCCCCCACTCTCTATCTGTAACCTGTTGTCCATCTTGAGTTAATTTATTACATGAAATTTTACTCATGTAATTCAAAGTTTAAATGAAAAAGATACCTAAAGTCCTGTTTACCTTTTGCTCCACTGTCCAGGCTCTTACCGTAAGAAAGCTGTAGTATCAGAAGGCTTGCTAGCACTCTGATCAGTGCCATAGCTTCCACTCTGTGTGGCAAACTGTTTGCTTGGAGTTTAGAAATAGGAAACAATTTTGGCAAGAATGTTTAAAA